GCACTTACACACAGGATTTCAGGAATGCTGGTTCATAACATTTGTTTGTCTTGCACTTATACACAAGGATTTCAGGAATGATGGTTCATAACATTTAGGAAGAGTACCATATGTTCCACTCTATGTTTAGCGCCATAGTTTATTTACTATGATGTAGAAATGTTGCTGGAGTATTCATGGGCTGACAATACCACATGGTAAACAGAGAAAGCTTTAACTTCCTCCTACCTCGGAAATTAGTTCTACACCTGCTCTGTCTGTTTCCAATTGGGCATCTATCTTCTATTAGTCAAAATGCCAGTGATGGTCTCACAGCCCAGCTCCTAATTTAAATTGATAAATGCATCTTAAAACCAATTTCTGGGGCCATCTTCATCTCATCAGCTCCTGAGTTTCGCTCTGGGCTCACCAACGTCCTGCCTTCCCTCCTTAATTGGCAACCCTATGCCAGAGGACAGCATTGCACATCTTCTCCCTATATTACCTTGGGGTCCAATTAAAAGGATTTCAGGTAACTCACTAAGATTTGTCCCGGTGTTTGTCTATTAAAAAGGAACAGGAAATGCTTGTACTAGAAATTGGCCTTGACGTTAAAGGCTGCATGACAGAGTATAAACACTGACTGGGCTGCTCTGACCCTGCACTGACATCCAGGATGCACACTCGCCCTTATCTGGGTATTGACTAAAACTGTAGTCAACTTTTTCTGTTACAGAGTGTGTACATAGTATATCGATGATTATAGCCTACACATATGATAAAATGTATCCTCAAGAGACATCTTTATTTCTCTGCTGCCACATTCTGCGAATGCACATGGGATGTTTGTAATTTCCATTCAGGAACTTAAACAGGATTCTAAAGGATGCCAATGAGAAAGTAACAGTTGTGTAGCTCAGTTACAGTCACATTTCTCTGCAAACAAAATAAATTCAAATGAAATCCAGGATGAAAAATCTGGGAAGCTTTATATGGGAATCTGAGAGTTTAGACTAAATTCAAGAAAAAAGCAAGAAAGACAGCACCTGAGTAGAGAAATTAATATATATATATATATATATATGATGCTCATTTACCATGTTATGCTTTGTATGATAAACCCCATTAATTCCACCTTCCTTCTGTAAGTAAAAACAAATATTTCTCATTTGTAAAGTGCCTTTTCTATGGGAGGGAATGACAAGCTGCATGGATAGCTATGCTGTTTATGAACCAGATACATGGGTTTCATACACCCGAAGTGCTTGTCAAAATCCATTGTCCTGGGCAAATATCTCCAGCATCCTAGGTTCAAAGTTCTGGAATGAGGCCAGTGATTTCATTTTTCATAAGTCCTGGAATGTTTTGAAGCTGACTCAGGGTAAGTGTCGCTCCTTTATGATTCTATCTGGCCACAGGCTTGACCTGGAACACTGTTAGTTCTGTTGTTGAGTTGAAATCCTTCTCTCCACTGGGCTGTGCTGTCAATTTGAGTTACCAAGCAAGGGTGATATCCACGAAGCCAGCAGTCACTGGACAGTTAAGCCTGCCAAAGCAATCATCCTCTCTCCCTCTCTCAACTAAGTACATTTACAGCCACTTTATTAGTTCCAGCACTCTTTTCCTCACCCAGTGAAATTATGAAATCTTTTCACTAGTTCATTTAAACAACAGGATCAACCCTATTTTATATAATGGCCTAAAATATATAAAAACATTTTTCATACCATACCACTTCCACTATACGTGCTGGAAAGAAAATAGGAATATGCCCTCCGGATTCCATTTCCTCTTGCTTTGTCTCAAGGACGTCACTTCTGTATATCCAATCTCCTACCTTATTTCTTCATCGGGGTTGGGAAGCCATGGAGCATACATCTCACATCTTAAAATAAATCCATCAAACTCCTGTCATTCTACAACCCGTCTGCCATCATCCAATCTCACTGATCTTTTACAAAACTTCTTTCGTGTTATTATCTTTCTTGTCTCTCATTAGCCTTGTACTCCCAGAGACAAACGAGAGTTCCCAACTGCTGTGTCCAAAGTGCACTTCCGTGTTCTAGGTGGGCTTGCTCTCTCACTTCTTTGCTTGTGAAATACTCTTCTCCTGGTTCTCATGACAAAAGACTATCCTAGCCTCTTCATTTGTTCTGATCACATTTTTTCGGATTCCTCTGCTGGTTCTTCCTTTTGCATCAAAAATTTATTGTTACGGGTGAAATTGACGTCTCTTGATTTGATTACTATTTATAACTCCTGTCTGTATGACTGCTGAACAGCAAACTTTTTACTATGTACTGTTCAACTCTTTATTTAGTGCAGCTTTAAACTTGTGACTATAAATTTAAAATGTCACCTCAAAAATTAAAAAAAAGAAAGACGAAAGAGGGAGCAAAGGAAGTATTGTTTTACTCTTTGAATTGTATCTTTGAAGTATATTACATCTGTTCTCTTTATATAAATTTAAGAAAAAAATGAATGTTAAAAAGAGTCTAGACCTGGGACCAGGACTCTGCCATTGCCACACTCAGCTTTTTTTTTCTAGAGGGGGAATGACAGACAGTGAGAGAGAGAGAGAGACAGAGAGAAGGGTCTTCCTTTTCCATTGGTTCACCCCGTTGGGGCCGGTGCACTGCGCCAATCCAAAGCCTGGAGCCAGGTGCTTCCTCCTGGTCTCCCATGCGGGTGCAGGGGCCCAAGCACTTGGGCCATCCTCCACTGCCTTCCTGGCCCACAGCAGAGAGCTGGACTGGAAGAGGAGCAACCAGGACAGAATCCGGCGCCCCAACTGGGACTAGAACCTGGTGTGCCAGCACTGCAGGTGGAGGATTAGCCTAGTGAGCAGCGGCGCTGGCCTAGACTCTTCCTTAATCTACTCTATCTTGAGATGATCACATTAAGTTCAGTGATTAAAATTAGTGACTGTCCTGATTTCTCACTGAATTGTCTTTGGAGATGCGATTCATTCTCTGAACTCCAGACCCTTCAAGCCAACTCTCTATTTTGCTTCTCTACCTCCATAATAATTAGACTTCTCAGTTGAAACATATATACATATATGGATATATGGGCATATATGCACACACATATATTATGTTAGTTTCACCTCTCTCCAGGCGCATTTCTTTCTTCTAAATCTTCTCCGTGTCAGCAATTATTAGAACCATTTTCTCAAGGCCAGAGGAAGAAAAGCTTCTCCTCTCTGCCTCCCAAAATTATGAGCTTCCCTTGATGTTTTATCCTTTCCTGGTTCCTCTCCCTGAGCTCTCACACAACAATCAGGGATATCCGTTGATTTTTACTCCAAAATACATTTAATATTTCTTTACCTTGCTCCACCTCCTACTACTTTAGCTTAAACTATTATAATAGTTTTACCTGGACTTTTGAAAGTTGTTCTTAATTTTTACCTCTTCTTTTCTCCAAGCCACCCTATATATATATATATATATAATATATATATATTTATATATATATATTATATATATATAATAAATATATATATATTATTTGACAGGTAGTGTTACAGTGAGAGAGAGAGAGACAGAGAGAAAGGTCTTCCTTCCATTGGCTCACCCCCGAGGTGGCCACCACGGCTGGCGCTGCGCAGATCGGAAGCCAGGAGCCAGGTGTTTCTTCCTGGTCTCCCATGCGGGTGCAGGGCCCAAGCACTTGGGCCATCCTCCACTGCCCTCCCTGGCCACAGCAGAGAGCTGGACTGGAAAAGGAGTGATCAGGACTAGAACCCGGCGCCCATATGGGATGCCGGTGGCGGCGTTGGAGATTAGCCAATGAGCCATGGCAGCAGCCCAAGCCACCCTATATTTAAAAAGCAGAAATCATATCACATTTATGACCACATCTTAGATGCAAACATTATAACACATAAGTCCCTTGATTAAAACTTTTCTATGTTTTTGTATTGAATTTTAGAGAGAACAAAACCCTTTACCAAGTCTCCAGGACCTATTGAGGGTTCTGGGTAACCCTGTAAGTTCATCTGTTACCCCCTTTCTTCCATACTCTTACATACTTACATACTCTTACATACTTCCATACTCTTACATACTCTTACATACTTTCTTCCATACTTCCTTACACTTTGAGTATGTCTAAATATTTCTAGTTTCTGTAATTTCATTCTTTCTGTATGGAAATTTTTCACACAAGTTTTTAGCAATGTTTAAATTATTGCTGTTTTTTAAAAATATTTATTTATTTGAAAGTCAGAATTACACACACACACACACAGAGAGAGAGAAAGAGAGAGAGGTTTTCCATCCGCTGGTTTACTCCTCAATTGGCCGCAAAGGCCAGAGCTGCACCCATCCAGAGCCAGGAGCCAGCAGCTTCTTCCAGATCTCCCACACAGGTGCAGGGGCCCAAGCACTTGGGCCATCTTCTACTGCTTTCCCAGGCCATAGCAGAGAGCTGGATCGGAAGGGGAGCAGCCGGGTCTCGAACTGGCACCCATGTGGGATGCAGGTGCTTCAGGCCAGGGCATTAACCTGCTGCACCACAGTGCCAGTCTCATAAATTATTACTGTTAACAGGGTCCTCGTTTAACACCTTACCTAGATAACAACTCCCCAGCTCCATTCCTATCCTGTCTTTTATACTTTGTAACTGCCTCCTATTCATACACACACACACACACACATATGTACATATATATAATACATATAATGACTGACTGATTCTGTTCTCATCACGACTACAGTTTATCCTACTAAGGGAACATTCACATCCCTCATGTTCACTGATGAATCTCAATGTGTGTCATATGAGCTTAAAATTAGTCAGACTTACTATGTATCTGTTCAACAAAGAAATGAATGCATGAATATGGGAAATAAGGACACCTCTAATATCAAGTCTTTACATTTTTTCAAGAATTTGTATATATTTTTATGACCTAAAAATAAATTGTAGTGTGATTTTAATATAGCCTAAGGGTTGTGAAACTTTTTAAACATTTTATCAAAATTTAAGAAACTAGGTGATAGAAATGGCTTTCTTTGGCTTCTCGGCCTTTTGGCTAAGATCAAGTGTAGTATCTGTTCTTATCAGATGGCTTTCTGCATGTTTTACCTCTCCTCATGTTTCATCTCATATAAGCTAAACAGAACTCCGTTTCTCCTTCTTTGTATTTATTTCCAAGGAGATTTTTGAAAGATGACACAGAACACTCATATCGTAGTAAACACGCCAGCATTCTTCTCTGCACTATTGATATTACCTTACCGTCGCATTCCCAAGAGTGCCCTAAAAGGCAAGTGAAATTGCATGCCGATTTCTGTTATGAAGAGTCATTCACAGAAAGTAAAAAATCGTTGTTATGGAAGCTATGCCTTGACACTCAGATACGAGTTGTGAAAATATCGTTCACTAGGTTTGCGCATCTACCTAGCTGACAGCGTGGTTGCAACCCACTTATTCCAAGTTCCTGTTAGGGTGGATTTTAGACCGCTGACGGCGGCACGTGGGACAGGGGAAGCAGTAGAAATCCATTCTAGAAGGAAGGGAGCTTTGTCACTGATGCTGTTGAAATTCCTGTATCTGGAGATGATGAGCAGGCTGAGTCCCAGTCAGTTTCACTCTTGTTCCAAATTCCTTACAGAAAACACGGCCCGCTGCCTGTACCCTGCTCGAGAGCGACCTCGCTCCCCTGTGACTGCCGAGGCAGCGTGCTTGAATGGGAGAGTTCTGTCTCTGTCTGCACATACATTTTAATTTTCTATACAGTTAAAATGTGCAAATTTTTAAATATCTCAAATTTATTCATTTTCTGTGCTTAGTATCCATCTAGAGTTTTTCTTACAATGTAAACAAAGACTCACATATATGATATCACTAGAAATAATTAATATTTCTTTCTAAGATTGTATTTTAAAACCCAGTATGTCATAATTAATAAGACAGATGCTTGCCTTTATGATTAAGAGGGCAGGCTTACTATGTGTGACTTAATATACAAATATATATATAAAGCATATATTATGTTATACTTGTGTTTTGTATTTTATATAATATATTAATATATATTTTTGCATATTTCCCAGCATACTATGCACACTGATTTATGTCGCTCCCCCTCTTCGTGGAGGAACGACACAGGACCCTGCGCTGTTCTTTTGTCTGCTCGGCCCTCCCCGGGTTTGCTGCTGGTTCTTCCCGGGTTGGCTGCCGTCCCTTCCACCTCCGTGGAAGGGCGGTTCCCCCTGCCACATTCCCCACTTCTGGAGGGGAGCAGCACACCACCGGCCGGCTCTCTCGGGGGCTGCACAGGTGTTCCCCTTAGATGTTCCTGGTGCATGCCGTCTCTCTCCTCCTTTATAGTCCTCCTCCGCCAATCCTAACTCGGCTGCCCACACGCCGAGTACGCTGCTCTCCTCCAATCAGGAGCAGGATCAGCTCCTGGAGGTCATCACTCAAGTTGGCAAGAGGCAGCTGCGTAGAAGTTGTTACTCCCTTCTCAGCGCCATATTGTGGGAGAGCAGATGCATAGAATAAGTCTTAATTCCAGTAACTCAGTCCAGTCCGGGTTGTTCCCCACAATTTATCCCTTGCTTTTAAAAAATAATTAACCATATTTTGGTGTATGCCTATGGAATATGAAGGCCTTCTTCATTTTCTATTAACCACATTGCTATTTTTTAGAAAACCAGAACATGTATTACGTGATTAATCACTGAAATTCTCAAGACAAGTTGAACGCTGGACCAGCTGCCCTCTGGGGACTGGCTGTTGTTCCCTCACAGAATCTGGGCCTGAGGGAGTCTACTGTAGACAGTTGCTGGGTGTCCATTCGACCAGGGCCAGTGGTGTTTCTTCTTCCAGCCGCGGCCCTCAGCTCTACTTCTCTTGCACTGAACAGGGCAGCCACATTCGCTGCAGGCCAGCTTCTGCAGGTACCGGCCACGGAGCCACAGCAGCAGCACGACCTGCGCACCTTACTGGGGTGCCTTCTAAATGATGACGCTCCCTTTGTCACAGGCTGCTGTGGCCAAGGCCAGAAGAGCTATGCTACATTTCAACTTTGTTTATGTAACTAGTTACCAATGAATGAAATCTTAATACTTTTATCACTTTAATTAAAAAAATCGAGTGATAGATCTTTATATGAGTCATTAAAGTGTGCTAATGCAATCATAGAGTAAGTTCTCAGAAAATGGATTTTTTTTTTTAAATCCAGAAACCATTTATTTAGGTATACAAACTTCATTCATTTCTTTTTTTTTACTTTTTTTTTTAAATTTTTTGACAGGCAGAGTGGACAGTGAGAGAGAGAGACAGAGAGAAAGGTCTTCCTTTGCCATTGGTTCACCCTCCAATGGCCACCACAGCCGGTGCACTGCGGCCCGCGCACCGCGCTGATCCAAAGGCAGGAGCCAGGTGCCTCTCCCGGTCTCCCATGGGGTGCAGGGCCCAAGGACTTGGGCCATCCTCCACTGCACTCCCGGGCCACAGCAGAGAGCTGGCCTGGAAGAGGAGCAACTGGGACAGAATCCGGCGCCCTGACCGGGACTAGAACCCAGTGTGCCAGTGCCGCAGGCGGAGGATTAACCTAGTGAGCTGTGGCGCCGGCTGATTTCTTAAAAACAACTTTAGGAACAGTGATTCTTCCCACCCTAACCACCCTCCCATCCACACTCCCACTCTTCCTCCTACCTTTCCTATTCCCATAATGTGTTGCACTATGCAAGTTAACGGTAAAACTAGTCTTCAAACAGTACTCTAAGTTTGTGTGTCTCTGTGGGTGCTAACTGTTGAAATCACTATTTAGTATATACTACATTGATCTTCTGTATATAAAGATAATTAAAAATGAAATCGACTGCGGCGGCCATTGGAGGGTGAACCAACGGCAAAAGGAAGACCTTTCTCTCTGTCTCTCTCTTTTACTGTCTAATTCTGCCTGTCACAGAGAAAAGAAAAGAAAGAATGGGATGCGAGAGGGAGTAGGAGGGTGGTTATAGGGAGAAAAACTGCTATAATCCAAAAGTTGTACTTTCAAAATTTATATTTATTAAATAAAAGTTTTTTTAAAAAAGAAAAATAAAAAAATAAGATCTATTTTCAATTAACTTTATACACATAAGATTAACCGTACACTAAGTAAAGAGCTCTACAAATAGTATAAAAAAACAAAAAACAAAACAAAAAAAAACCTGTTCCTGAACAGTTGAAGCAGAGGATTTTCAAAGTCATCACATCTCAAGGTGTCAATTTTTCTTCTGTAGATTGCCTTTTAGGTGCTCTGTTAGTTACCAAGATCATGGAGAACATATCGTATTTGTTCTTTTGGGACTGGCTTATTTCACTAAGTATAATGTTTTCCAGTTGCATCATTTTGTTGCTAACGATGAGATTTTAATTTTTTAAGTGCTGTGTAGTATTCAATGGGGTACATGTCCCATAATTTCTTTATCCAGCCTTCAGTTGATGGGCATTTGGGTAGATACCATGACTTAGCTATTGTGAATTGAGGTGCAGTAAACATGGGGGTGCAGATAACTCTTTTATTTGCTGATTTCATTTCCATTGGGTAAATTCCAGGGGTGGGATGGCTGGGTCGTATGGAGGGTCTATATTCAGATTTCTGAGGTATCGCCAAAGGTATATCCAGAGTGCTTTCACCAGCTAACATCCCCACCAACAGTGGATTCGGGTGCCTTTTCCTCCACATCCTTGCCAGCATTTGTTGTTTGTTGATTTCTGTATGGAAGCCATTCTACCTGGTGGGAGCTAAAACCGCATTGTGGTTTTGATTTGCATTTCCCTGATGGCTGGTGATCCTGAGTATTTTTTCATGTGTCTGTTGGCCATTTGGATTTCCTCTTTTGAAAAATGCCTATTTCGTTCCTTGGCCCATCTCTTAAGTGGGTTGTTTGTTTTCTTGATGTGGAGTTTCTTGAGGTCTTTATAGATTCCTGCTATTAATCCTTTATCAGTTGTATAGGTTGCAAAAATTTTCTCCCCTTCTGTTGGTTGCCTCTTCACTTTGCTGATTGCTTCTTTTGCAGTGTAGATTTTTCTCAATTTGATGCAATCCCAGTTGTTAACTTTGGCTTTGATTGCCTGTGCCTCTGGAGTCTTTTCCAAGAAGTTCTTGCCTGTGCAATGTCTTAGTGATTCGATGGTATTGGATCATAGGTTCATAGGTCTAGGTCTCTAATCCGTGTTGAGTGGATTTTCGTATAAGGTGTAAGGTAGGGGTCTTGCTTCATACTTCTGCATGTGCAGATCCAGGAAAGGATTGTTTTTGATACTCAAAATCAAGTTTTAATTTTCTAGTATAAGTTGACACTTGAAAAACATTGACTTGAATTTTTACACACCAATTTTTTTTTCATACTTTTGGATAAGGATACTAGATTTCTAATATAGTATTTTCAGTTTTTCATTTAATAAGCCCCATATGTATTTTTCAGGTTTTCTGATTTTCTTGCATATTTCTAACCCTAAATTGACATTGTCTATAACTCTTTCTCCAATATAGAGAGAACACAGCCAAGAATATTTATGACTTTCTGATTTTAAAATAAAACGTATTTCTGTAATATTCTTCATGTGAAAAGTGAGCTCAGTCTTGGTTGAACATCATGATTTCCTGGTGGGCTTTCAGAGAGTAGAGTCTATCTTGTCTGCTCTAGCTCCTTCTCAGATGATCTTCCTGAATTATCTGTCTTCTTTTATGTTCTACAGATTAGTCTAGACGTCTTTGTGCTGGAGAATGATTGAATGCAAATATGATGGCGCTAAAAGTATGTAAATCTTGCACATCCGTTACTAGGCAATGTCCTCACTTTTAATTATCTTCTACGTACAGTCTTAACAAGGTAATGGAAAGTGTCACTGGAATAACTTGGATGAAGTAATAACTATGGAATTTTAAGTTTGGCTACCATATCTGTAGATTTTCACTAAAATAATGAAATACCTGAGGCTGCTAGTACAAAGGAAAGTTTAACTTTGGCTCATGGTTCTGAGGGTCAAAGTCCAAACAGCGTGGCACAGCCTCAGGGAAAGGGTCCCTCTAGGCTGCAGGAACCCCGATGTATCTCTGTGATCTCTGCTTTCCGCTTCATAAAGCCATCAGGATTCCACTGTGGGGCCCCACCCTAATGTCCTAATCTAATCTGATCTGATCTGATCGCTTACATAAACTCCACCTGTAAACTTCCTAAGATTCAGTTTCTACTCTCAT